GGTGTTGAAGCTCCCACTATCAGTGTGTGAGGGTCAACATGTGATTTAAGCTGTAGTAGTGTTCCCTTTATTAACGTGGGTGCCCTTGTGTTTAGTGCATAGATGTTAAGAATTGCAATGCCCTCTTGGGTTTTTCCTGTGATGAGAATCTAGTGTCCTTCCCTATCTCTTCTGATTAGTTTTGGTTTGAAGTCTGTTTTGTCAGATATTAAAATGGCTACACCAGCTTGCTTCTTAGGCCCATTTCCTTGGATCTTTTTCCATCCATTTACCCTGAGGTGATGTCTGTTTTGATGTTGAGGTGTATTTCTGGGCTGCAGTAGAAGGGTAGACCCTGTTTTCGAATCCATTCTGTTAGTCTGTGTCTTTTTATTGGGGAGTTGAGATCATCGATGTTGAGAGCTGTAAATGGCAGTGTTTGTTGACTCCTGTTATTTTATTCTTGTGGTGTGTTCCCCCCAACCCATTTTGATTTGCTGGCCTGAGATTACTTATTCCCTGTGTTTTCTTGGTTGTGGTTAACCTCTTCCAGTTGAAGTTTTCCTTCTAGCACTTTCTGTATTTGTAGATATTGACTGCTTATATTGAGTTTTGTCTTGGAGTGCCTTTCTTTCTCCATCTTGTGATTGAAAGTTTTATTGCATATAGTGTGGGCTGGGATCTAGGCATCCGGATTTGGGATGATTGTAATTCTAGAGGCTGATATCTGGTCTTGTCTTTGTTGGGTAGGTGTTTTGTTCCTTGGTTTCTGTTGCCCTCTCTGGTTCTTAGGAGGATGTTGCCTGGTAAGAAATGTTTCTGGGATCCTGCTGGGTGTGACCCCTGGGGGTTCTGGGTTCAGTGTGTTCCTAGGTATTGAGAGCTGATACTTTGGACTGTGGATGGACTAGGAGGGGAGTAGCAGTGAGGGGTCCACAGTCGAGAAGGACAGTAGAGTGTTCCACCAGGATCTACTTAATCTCCTGTGAAGGGGGGTGTGGTGGGGTGTTGTAGAGAGGCCACAGCAGGTAGTCTGCCACCGAGCTGGGGATGAGACAGGGGGATTGGATTTGGAGAAGGGAGAGAGAAGATCTGAAGCTCGTCTACCTGCTTCTTTGGCAGGCTTGGCTGGTGGGTTCCCAGGGAGTGTCTGCCGTGGTTGGGGGCTGGGATAACGAAAGGTGGGCAGAACAAAGGTCGGAGAGCTATGGAGCCGCCCTTCTGAGTTTGGGGCTGTTTCATGTAGCCCAGGCTGGCCTCAGACTGGCTGTGTCTATGTATTGTAAGATGGAATTAGACATTTTTTGAAGACTTGTTATTTATTTGTGTGCCTGTGTGGGGGTATGTGCACACATACATGCGGGTGCCTGCCAAGGATGCCAGATCCTCTGGAGACGGAGTTACAGGCAGTTGTGAGCCGCCCCACACAGGGCCTAGGAACAGCAAGGAACAGGAAGGAACAGGAACTAGGAACAGGAAGGGCAGCAAGTGCTCTGAGCCCCTGGGCCATCTCTCCAGCCCTGGCTTTGAACTTTTGATTCTTCTTCCCTCTTCTGAGTATTGGGATTTCAGGTGTGAGCACCATGATCAGCCATCTTAACTTTCACCTTGTAAAGTGGAGCTGTCGGGACCCCAAGAACCCTAGGGAACAGGAGGAGCTAAAGGCACCAGGCGGTCACGTGGGCCTGGGTCCTTGCTGTTTTTCTTGGAATTCTCTTGATTAGAACACTGTGTGTAGGCACTGTAGGGTGTCTGCTGTATTCTCGCCATAAGTGAGTATTGTTTCCTTTCAAAGAGATTTCTTGATTTAAAAAAAAAAAAGTTTAATATAAAAGAACAAAGGGTAAGGTGAGCGTGATGTGTTCTCCCAGTCTCAGGAGGCTAAGACAGAGGGATTGCTGTGGGTTTGACACCAGATGGGCTGCAGCACAGGCCTGTCTCAATTTTTTTTTTCCAGTAAAAAGTGACAAAGGGGATAAGGCGGGGCCTATCTAACTCACAGTCTTTTGACTGATGGGTGGGTGTGGCTCTGACCGGCAGTGCAGGTTAGGAGACATGCATGGGACACTTCTGTCACTGCTGAAAGGTCCTTCCCAGCAGCCGTAGACCGCTAGAGAGCCGGCAGCTCGTGTGTGGAGGCTCGCTGGCCGAGCACTTCCTGTGTTCATCGCACGTGGGGCTTCACGAGAGTTTTGTTTGTAAATCTTAGGTAGTCCAGGCTGGCCTTAGACTCACTATGTAGCCAAGGATAACCATGAACTCCTGCTCCTCCCACTTCTAACTCTTGAATGCTGGGATTGCAGATTTGCACCCCCACACCCTGCGAACAGCTATTTCTTTAAGAGGAAATAAGAAAACCATCACCGTTGGCATTAGTTCTCTAGAGAAGAGTTGGGGATTCTTTTCAGTTTATCCTGCTGACAAAGTATAGGCTTTTTTAAATTTAAGACTCCCCATATGTGTATGATTTTAAGATTTTAAGATGGTTTTTGCTAAGGGGATCTTTGTTGATCTTTGAAATGTACTCATGGAGATTTTAAGTATTTGGATTTCATCTGCATTAATATCAATACAGTAGGCATTCCCCAAACTTAAAACGTCAGTCACTGTGCCAAGTAGACAGTCTAGCTGAGGACTCAGCAATGGTCATGGTGTGTCAGGGCCCTCTCCTGTGGGGTTCACTTCGTCAGCACATGATAATTGAGCCAGCAAACACAACAGATCTTCTTGGGGCTCACATCTCAGTGGGCGTGGACAAGGAGACACGAACAAGGCTTAGAGGACCACATCATCTGACAGAGGCTGCTGTAGTGATGGGAAGATTCTGAGGAGAGTGGAAGCCGTCAGCGGAGCCAGAGTTGGGGGAGGGGGGAGCGACAGGCTGTCAAGAGGGAGGTTGAAGCAGCAGACCTCGGGAAGGGACAGTGTGAACCAAGACTTGAGCAGGAGGTGATTGCTCATTAATCCTGCAGGAATCCTCTGGTTCCAAGTTGACTTACGGTGAATTAAGAACCTCTTGGGTACTTGGTCTGACAGCCATATACTCAAAATCAGGACAATACAGGCAAGATTAGCGTGGCTCCCGCTCAGGAATGCCACACACATTCGTGAAGACTCCCTAATCAAAGAGAGAAAAGCTCTTTCGGGTCCATTCTGAAGAACTTAAGTTTGATTCCCAGCACCCTCATCGGATGGATGGATGGGCAGCTCACCATCTGTGACTCCTGCTTCCGGGGATAATGTCCTCCTCCGGGCTCCACAGGGGCCCACGTGCACATACATGTACATTTTTTTTAAATCTTTGTTTGTCTTTGTTATTTTAAAGGCAGGGTTTCTCTGTGTAGCCCTGGCTACCCTGGAACTCTCTCTGTAGACCAGGCTAGCCTCAAACTCAGAGATCCACCTGTCTCCCAACCCCCAGGATTAAAGGTGTGCGGCATCACTGGCCTGCTTTTTTTTTAAAACTTAAACAATAACAAAAAAATAACTTTCTCCTACTGGGGTATAGAAAAACGCTAAACTGATAAATTCACCAGTTTTTCCGTAACCGCAGTTCCTGTCTCTGTGCCCCAAACATCATGCTTATTTCAAAGTGAAAATATTACAGGAGAGGGGGAGGTTGCGGGACAAGCTACTGCTCAGGGTGACTGTTGAAGACCAGAAAGTTCTTCGTATTTTCACTCGTGTCTTTCCCACGGCTCCAGGAGTCTGCATGTGTGAAAGTGGTGGCCGCCATGAGCATGTGGGATCTGTGCATGGAGAGGGGCCACCACGACCTGGAACAGTTCGAGAAGGTGCATCGCCACATCAGTGACCAGCTCTTCACACATTTTGTAAGTGACTGTCCAGCCCCTTTCAAGGCTTGCCTCCCTTCCTAGGGTCCCTCAAAAGGCAGCTCCCACAGAAGTCCCTTCCACAGAGGCCAGAGTCACACGCTTTGGTGTGTCACATCTGAGTTTAAGATAGAGTGTGACCAGTGGAGGGACGGTAGGAGGACCTGTGAGTGTTCTGGGGTTTCCCCATAACTTAGGTTCTTCCTTTCCGAGGGTAAACTATGGAGAGAAGCTAGGAAATTCAGTCTGGCATAGTCACTGAGCATTCTGATCTCAAAACAAATTATTCCTAAATAGTCCTTTTGCAGTTAAAATATCATCAAGTAGGCTTTCATACAGTAAGTGGCTTTTTAGAGAAAGTTCCGCAGGCAGATTGCTGGGGAACTTCCAAAGAGGAGAGCAGTCATTTGATGGCCAGTAGACCGTGCGGGGTTAGGGTTTGTTGGACTCTCTGCAGGCCGAGTAGGGCTGAAGCGGGCGGTGTGCACACTGGGAAACTTCCAGGGGCGGCGGCAGAAAATCCCTTTAGTAACGTGCTACTGGGCTGGGGCGGCCCAGCTGGCAAAGAGCTGAGGACCCAGGCACTTTTGTTGTGGTTTTTGTTGTTTTTGGTCTTTCAAGACAGGGTTTCTCTGTGGAGCCTTGGCTGTCCTGGATCTCGCTCTGTAGATCAGGCTGGCTTCAAACCCGCAGAGATCCTCCTGCCTCTTCCTCCCAAAGGCACGTGCCACCACCATGCCTGGCCTGAGGACCTCAGTTGTAGCTCCAGTGTTCTTGTTAAAAGAGAGAAAGCAGGTGTGGTGGCACATGCTTGTCATCTCAGCACTGGGGAGGCAGGGACAGGTGGCTCACTGGCCGGCCAGCCAAGCTTACTGGTGTATTCAGGACAGCAAGAGACCCCTTCTCAGAAATTAGGTAAACGGCCCCTGAGCATGACACCAAGGGTGTCCTCTGACATCTGCACACACACGCTCCTGCACACATGCAAATAACACACTGCTGAGTGCTTACATACATGTTTATGTGTTTAACGGCATACCCTCATTGTCTGTCTTTCTAGAAGGAATAAGAGAAAGACCCTCTGAAAAGTAAAGTGGGCATTACCATGCAGTGATGACTTCAAAATGAGTGAGAGGGTGTAATCCCAGACTTCAGGACTCATCTGCAGTTAAAAATCAAGCTGTGTAGACCAGTGCATGCCATGGGGTAGCCACACAGACCAATCACACATCATACTGAGGCATACTTCACTATTCATCAGTGAAGAAGCTAACGGGGGGAGCCTGGCTGGCAAGGGTCCGGTTGTGAGAATTGCCAGGTGAAGCACAGTAGGGCACGGCTGTGGGTCCGCACAGGGTACCTTGGGCCCTAGAGCAAAGAGGGTAGAAGACATGGCCAAATCGCTGGGCGGGGGTGGCGCACGCCTTTAATCCCAGCACTCGGGAGGCAGAGCCAGGCGGGTCTGTGAGTTCCAGGACTGTTTCACAGAGAAACCCTGTCTCAAAAAAAAAACAAAAACAAAAAAAAAAACATGATCAGATCAACTGTAAAGTGCTTTGGAGACAAAATGAGGTACCGACCAGCGACATGCCTTTGTGCCCACAGAAGGAGAGGACCGAGCGGCTCGTCATCAATCCCTTAAACCAGTTGTTGAGCATGTTCACGGGGCCCCACAAGCTGGTGCAGAAGCGCTTCGACAAGCTGCTGGACTTCTACAACTGCACTGAGCGGGCGGAGAAGCTGAAGGACAAGAAGACTCTGGAGGAGCTGCAGTCGGCCCGCAACAACTACGAGGCCCTGAACGCCCAGCTGCTGGACGAGCTGCCCAAGTTCCAGCAGTACGCCCAGGCCCTCTTCACCAACTGCATCCACGGCTACGCCGAAGCCCACTGTGACTTCGTGCAGCGGGCCCTGGAGCAGCTGCAGCCCCTGCTGTCGGTGAGTCCTCCCCGCTGCTGTCGGTGAGTCCTCCCCGCTGCTGTCGGTGAGTCCTCCCCTCTGTTGTCGGTGAGTCCTCCCCGCTGCTGTCGGTGAGTCCTCCCCGCTGCTGTCGGTGAGTCCTCCCCTCTGTTGTCGGTGAGTCCTCCCCGCTGCTGGCGGTGAGTCCTCCCGGCTGCTGGCGGTGAGTCCTCCCCTCTGTTGTCGGTGAGTCCTCTCCGCTGCTGGTGGTGAGTCCTCCCCGCTGCTGGCGGTGAGTCCTCCCCGCTGCTGTCGGTGAGTCCTCCCCTCTGTTGTCGGTGAGTCCTCCCCGCTGCTGGCGGTGAGTCCTCCCCGCTGCTGGCGCCCAGTCAGCTGTGCACAGTACTGCAGTACAGCTGGTGCTTTCTAGATTCTTGGTCGAGTCGTTAGGTCCTGCCCACCAGAGACTCTTGGTCCGTTCTCGGTGTCTTGAAGCCTGAGGTTGTTCAATCATCTCTTTCCATCTTGAGCCATTTCTAGATGGGTTGGCTCGCAGGCAGTGACCAAGCTCCTTGTCTCTTGCATCAGCTGCCGTTTTGGTACCTAACACAGCCAAGTACAGCTGACTGTAGTGAGTAGTTGGCTCTGAAGACTGCCAGGCCCAGGGACCTTTCATCTGTTCTCTCTTCCTGTTTGGACTCCCTATGGTCTGCAGCTACTGAGAGCCACTGACCGAGAAGGCAACTTGATCACCATCTTCCATGAGGAGCACAGCCGCGTCCTACAGCAGCTTCAGGTCTTCACCTTCTTCCCCGAGTCCCTCCCCGCTCCCAGGAAGCCCTTTGAGAGGAAAACCACAGACCGCCAGTCGTCCCGGAAGTCCCTCCTTGGCATGGTGAGTAGGTACCTGATGTGGCTCCCAGGACCGATAGGTACACACCCTGCATCTAAGCATGCCACTTCATCATCTCTGACCCAGATGGTAGTTGATACCAGATTTAAATGAGTTAATGTGTGGGGTTGCCCAGCACATAAGCACTGTGCAGATAGACGTTATTAACATGGAAGAGTCTGGTGTGCTTCTGCATATGGACAGCTTAGTGGGAGTTTTGACTTTTCATAATAAATGCAGAGTAAGAGGTTATCGGGCCTGTTTCAGGCCTGCTCCATCACAGGCTCTGTTTCCTGAGCATCACTGATGTGGCTCTGGTACCCGACTGGGACCAGCTGGAGTCTTGATGTGAATTTCAAGTTGCCTTCTGAAATCATTCTTGGGTCTTAGTAAAGCATTAATACATGGTGGGTTAATTAAGGGAAATGAGCTAGAGAGTCATTCAGGCCTGTGTCGGGTCATGTATTAGGGAAGTTAGCACAACCACACTATTAATGACTTTTTCACCTGGAGTAGTAATTGTGGTGTTTTGTTTCTTAACATAGTTTTTTCATATTTTAAAATTAGCGGTAAGATATACCAGATCAGCTGGGCGGCAGGGGTGCACGCCTTTAATCCCAACACTCAGGTGGCAGAGCCAGGCGGATCTCTGTGAGTTCGAGGCCAGCCTGGTCTATGGAGCGAGATCCAGGAAAGGTACCACAACTACACAGAAAAACCCTGTCTTGAAAAACAAAAAGATACACCAGATCATGTGGGCTCCTAGCCAGAAGGACCGACCCATGATCTTCCTTCTTTAGATATTTGCTCCATAGAATCCCACAGTCAGTTATAATACAGGGAGAACTGGATTTATTTTTACCTTTAGGTTTTCTTTTTCTTTTTCTTTTTCTTTTTTTTTTTTTTTTGGTTTTTTGAGACAGGGTTTTTCTGTGTAGCTTTGGAGCCTGTCCTGGAACTCACTCTGTAGCCCAGGCTAGCCTCGAACTCACAGAGATCTGCCTGCCTCTGCCTCCTGAGTGCTGGGATTAAAGGTGTGCGCCACCACCGCCCGCTAGGTTTTCATTTTTAGGATTTTTTATTTTAGATTACGTGTTTATGTATGTTGGTGCCTGTAGAGTCCAGAAGAAGGCACAGGATTCCCTGGGCTGCGGTTTCAGATGGCTGTGAGCCTAGCATCTGCCGTGGATGCTAGGTCTTCTACAAGAGCAGTGAGCTCCCTTGCCCTCTGAGCCATCCCTCCAGCCTCTCCCTTTAATTTAATTCTCACTATTTAGGTTTATCCAACAATATGTAAGATCTAGTGATATACTTGGTATTTGGATTTTTTTTTTTTTTTTTTTTTTTTTTTTTTTTTTTTTTTTTTTTTGGTTTTTCAAGACAGGGTTTTTCTGTGTAGTTTTTTGCATTTTAAATTTCATTTTATTTTGGTGCTAGCAATTGAACCCAGGGCCTTGTGCATGCTAAGAATGTGCTCTGCTACTGGGCTGCTGCCCTCCCCCGGCCCCAGTATTAGATCGTTTAGCATTTTAATCTTATTTTTTATTTTCATAAAATAAGAGTGTTAGCTTGCCTCATGGCTTCAGAGACATCAAAACATTGCCTAAAGGACCACGGTTTTTACCTAACACAGCCTGACTCGGTTATGAAAGGGTCTTTTGTAGGTAATTGGGTGCCTGAGGGTTGTGCCTCACTTCTGAGATGGCAGGCTGAGATTACATATGACTGCTAAGGTGACTGTGGGGGGTCTTATGGTCCTGTGCTGGGGGACAGTGGGTTCTTATGATCCTGTGCTGGGGGACAGTGGGTTCTTATGATCCTGGGCTGGGGGACAGCAGGGTTCTTATGATCCTGTGCTGGGGGACAGCAGGGTTCTTATGATCCTGGGCTGGGGGACAGCAGGGTTCTTACTGGTCCTGAGCTGGGGGACAGTGGGTTCTTACGGTCCTGGGCTAAGCGTGACAGTGGGGTTTTTGTTGGTCCTGTTCCTCAGCCGAGCTACATGCTGCAGTCAGAAGAGCTGCGGGCCTCCCTGCTGGCCAGATACCCACCTGAAAAGCTCTTCCAGGTGGAACGGAACTTCAATGCTACTCAGGACTTGGATGTCTCCCTTTTGGAAGGCGACCTGGTGGGTGTGATAAAAAAGAAAGACCCCATGGGCAGTCAGAACCGCTGGCTCATCGACAATGGAGGTGAGGATTCCAGGCTGTGGTAAACGTGACTCTGAATGAGGAAAAAGGAATGTGAGCCTTCGGTTAAGGTGTGTGTGTGTGGTGGAGGGTAAACTTAGAATTGTCCTGATTTCTAGAGTGTGTGGTGCCCAGGTTGACAGTGAAGCTGCCTGCGTCAGATTGCTTTTGTCCGGACAACTTTCAGAGACGATTCTGTTATCTATTTATCCTAAAACTGTTGCCATGTTTTTCCAAGTCACCAAGGCAGCTGCCCTCCGCGTCTGCAAACTGTGAATGAATTAAAAGCCTGTCTGTGACTTGTTCGTGTCCCCTGTAATAACGTTCCTACTTCAGGGCCGTTTAGAGAGGGATTTGAAATCAAACACCTCACGCTTTCTTTCTCTTTTTGGAGGAAGATTATGGACTTTGGTATAATCCTTTTTGCCACAATTCCCAAATCCAGCAAGTTTAGAAAACAGGGCCCTTTCAGAGTCCTCTTGTCAAACCGGACAGAGCAGCAGGAAGGGTTTGTAGCTGTAACTTACCTTTCCCAAGCGGAATTGTTGTTGTCTATTTTGCTGTGGAGGGTTATGAAATAGATAAATATTTGACATTCCTCAAACCAAAAAATTATGAGTCCCAAAGCCCCTGGCCTAAGTATTCTAGATAGGATTTGGGGGCATAGGCCAATTTTTAGCACTTTAGGGGTTTCTTTAAAAGCATCTTGTGGGCCGGGGAGGTTGATGAAGTACTTTACAGGTCTGGGGTTTAAAGTTCAGACTCCAGATCCATGTAAAAAGCCGGATGATGTACCTCATGCTGCTGACATCCCTCATGCTGTGTCCAAAGACAGCCTGCCGTGTGGGGACCCAGAATCGTCCCTCTATTCTAGAAAGCCAAAATTCCTCTGTGAGCAGAGTCCTGGGACAGAAACAAGGGAAATGTGATAAGACTAAAATACCAGCATTTAATTAAAAAGAAACCATGAGGGAGATGTTCCTCGCTCATGGAGTTACGTGCCGAGTCTGGGCTCCTCAGATTTCTCTTTCTTATGACGAGTGATGTTTCTGTGTTTGAAATGTGTGGCCCAGAACCCTGTCGTCATCATAGGCGATTTGTTGACGTGCCCACACTGGACAGGGCTGTGAACTTGACCCGAGGGTCAGCATCCTGTGTTAGAGTACTCAGCAGTGCACAGCGTTCCATGACTCTAAGATGGTTCCTGTATGGAGGGCACGGGTGCAGATGGCCTTTCTGAGGGGCTCAGTACCAGGACAGCCTTGAATCTGCCTTTGCCAGACACGGTGTATTGAACCTGAGCTTACCCAAGTCTCCTCTTCTGTGGTCTGGGCATCCCTGATACATTGTCTTCTGTGCCCATTGCCAAATGGGATGCTTTTGTTTCCTCTTTGTTTTTGGCCTTGTTATTTTGAGGCAAGTTCTCACTTTGTGACAAGGCTGGCCTTGAACTTGCAGTAATCCTTCAGCTTCAGTCTCCTGAGTGCTGAGGTCACAAGTGTGAGCCACTGAATTTTGGTCATTAGTTATTTTTAAACAACTGTGGTTTGTTTTGTTCTTTTCGCTGTCCTATCCGTTGTCCACAGACATCCTGTCACTTTAGTGTTGTGCAGCCATAAGGATGACCTGGAAGGTAGCTGCGGGTGTGGGGCATTTTCTGGGGTCGGCTGTTGCAAGCTGTTGCGTCACTAAGCATTTGGTTTTGTCTTCCTTGATCTAGCTGTCTTTTTTTAAAATTTATTATGAGTATGGCAATTTGGCTGTGCATATCTGTGCACCACATATGTGCCTGGTGCCTGCGGAGGCCAGAAGGTGGTGTTGGACCTCCTGGAGTTACGGAGGGTTGTGACTGGCATGTGGGTGCTGGGCATCGAACCCAGGTCCCCTGGAAGAGCGGCATCAGTCCAACCCCACTGACTTAGCTTTTATACTATACTCTACGGAGTCCTTGTTCCCTGCCCTCGCCCCTCCCCTGCTGTAGGTCTAACTGCCGTTCTTTCCTCTGCAGTCACCAAAGGCTTCGTGTACAGCTCCTTCCTGAAGCCCTACAATCCTCGGCGCAGCCACTCCGACGCCTCCGTGGGCAGCCACTCTTCCACGGAGTCGGAGCACGGCAGCTCCTCCCCCCGGGTGCAGCGGCAGAACAGCAACAACACCTTGACCTTCAACTCCAACAGCATGGCTGTGTCCTTCACCTCAGGGCTTCCCCAGAAGCAGCCCCAGGACGCGTCCTCACTCAAGGAATGTGACCCGGGAACTCCCAGTGTGGCCTTGAACACCACGAGTCCTGAAACCGGACCTTCCAGGTGCTCTTCAGACCCAGACTCTACCTGCCAGCTTAGGCCAGGGGACTCTGCAGATGGCGCCAGAGACATAAGCCAACCTGCTTCCACCCCGAGGGGCTGCCAGCGAAGCGCCAGGCTTCCAGAGGTGGCCGGTTACTCTGTACCAGGGCGACATGAACAAGGTAATGACTCCATAAAAGGAAGTACAAGAGCCTATCCGACTCCAGAAGACAGAAACAGAGGGCTTGGAGGCAGTGAGACGGAAGGCAACCAGGTACGCACACCCCGCCCCCGGGTGGCTCCGCAGCATGGGCAGATGTGGAGGGAGTGAGTACAGGAGAGGGCCAGGCCGGGCTGGAACTCTAGCCTGTCCCATGCCCCAGAACCCTGCTGTCCTCGGGAGCAGCCCCCTCTCCTGCAGCTTCCACAGACGCTTCCAGCCATCCCCAGGGCCCTTCTGCTGTGTCACTGGGCATTAAAAGATGCCACGATGAAATCTGCTTTCGCTCTTCAAGCCTGTGCATTCTTCCAGTGCGTACCCGGCTGCTGCTTAACCCACCCAATCAGGCTTTTTTTTTTTGTCCACCCAGCTATTTCTAGAATTTAGAAATGAAAGTCAGTGCTGGTTCTGCTTTTCCTGTTTTGGGATGGCCTGCTTCCTTGAGAGCCAGGCATTGGCTTTCCGTCACAGACTTTGGTCCCCCACATTGATTGGAGGCTGCACCTGTGTGGCCCAGGCTCACACAGCAGTGGGTTTCCGAGTTAGTCTCATGAGATGTGGCCTGTGCTGTGTTGCTGAGGCTGGAGTCTGGATTCCAAAAGCCAGTTCCCATCTCCCAGTTCTGCTTTCATGCCACAGCCAAGTGTGGCGCCTGCTTGATTTTGTATGGCGGGCAATTCTTTCTACCAATAGCCTAGGGCAAGTATTCCAGCATTTTCTGACTTACTGATAGGGAACTCCTTTCTAGCCTCATCAACTCCTGAGCCTGTCTGTCCTGAAACTATGGCCCTGGGGTGTGTATCTGGTCCCTGGGGCCTTGCGGCTTCTCCCATCACCGAGGAGCATCCCACACCCCCATGCTGTGCCCTGTGTCCTCTTTACAGCACTTACAGATTGACCTTTCTTGCTTTGAGATTAATCACGTATAATTACTTTAGTTTAGTGCGGGGTTTTGTTTTTCTTTCCTGTTCTGGGAATGGAGCCCAGGGTTTGAAGCAGGCTAACCCTGTGCTCTGAGCTATCTTAATCGAGAATTTCTAGGAGGAGTACAGAATTGGGGATAGAAAGGTTCCCTCCCAGCTCATCCATCTTCCATATTGACCAAAGGTTCCTGCTGTCCTTTAAGGCTGTTCTGAAACAGTGAAAAGTCTGCATTGTGGGGTGGGGGGTAGAGGGCTGGGGAGGGGGTTGGTTTTGAGACAGGGTCTCACCATGTATCCTAGGCTGGCCTGCTGATGGGGGCACTCCCCCTACCTCTGCCTGTTCATTATGGACTACCCAATCATATGTAGCTCTTTAAACTCTAAATCGGATTAGATTAATTAAAGTCAGCTTTCAGCCGGGCAGTGGTGGCGCCTGTCTTTAATCCTAGCACTTGGGAGGCAAAAGCAGGTGGATCTCTGAGTTTGGGGCCAGCCTGCTCTACAGAGAGTGTTCCAGGACAGCCAGGGCTATACAGAGAAACACTGTCATGAAAAACCAAAAAAAGAAAGAAGTTCCACTTTGAGGCCCATGGGTGGTCGGTGGACACAGTACAGACTGTTGGCCTCACAGCATACTGCAGGCAGGTTCCTAATCCTCTCTCTCCCTCACATAGGTCTATTTTGCCGTCTACACCTTCAAGGCACGAAACCCAAATGAACTGAGCGTGTCAGCCAATCAGAGACTCAGGATCCTTGAGTTTAAAGATGTCACAGGCAATACAGAGTGGTGGTTGGCTGAAGTTAACGGGAAGAAGGGCTATGTCCCTTCCAATTATATCCGAAAAACTGAGTACACCTGAGCCCAGGCTACCCCACCCTCCCTGGCTCACTTTCAGTCCGCTGAAAGGTTCTGGTGGGCTCCAGGCCCCCGTTCCTGAGCACAGGCCCCACCACACTGCTTACCATAACGTCGTGGAGTGCAAGATAAGCTTTGTTCTCAATCGGGTTGGACACCTTGATGCTCCCTAGCGTTTGAAGTGGACCCCAGGGCTTGCCAATGATTCACTGACCACAGGAAGCGGCCCGGGTGCTGGCGGCGGCTTTGGGAAGCGAGAAGTCTCCGATCAAAAGCGGTGTTGTCTGCAGGAAGCTTGTGCCCTGGTTGTCGCATCCTCCGTGGTCCACTGAGCAGTCAGCGGCGAGGAAGAGGAGCAAGCTCCGCCATCATGCCTCCATGTGAGGTAAAGGTTTTGTCAAGGTCAAAGCCTGGTGCATCAAAACGTCTGAGACACCTCCAGTGCCCGGCACGTTCCCCCTTCTCTCTCTGACATGCTCCTGACGCCTCATTCCTAAAATGCTAACCTTATTGTTTTCACTGCTCTTCTGTTAGGCGTTTACGGTCCTCCTTTTCTTTTGACCTTGCATCTGGAAGGTGCTCTTTCCCTGCCAGACATGGTCACCTGCCTCTCCCTGATACTCATCAACCTTATGTGGTCTCTGTGTGACAGTTCCTAACCTTTCTCCCTGTACGCAGTAACTGACACTTTCCAGGACTCCCGCCCGGGTCAGCACTCCAGCTGGCCCCGGAAAGTATTCATTCTGCAGTAATCTCCAGCCAGCCGAGCCTGGGGGAAGCCGATGCCTTTCTCTCCCACCGAGCACTTTGCTGCCATCTGTGCCCCCCACACACGCTCACAATGACAGTCGTGGCTTATTTGAAGGAGGTAGGACCAGCGGCCACAGACGCAGCTTGTCTCAGACTTGGAAATAGAATTTTTCTTTCTCACCACCAGCTGCCATACTTCACAGTATTCAAAGCCAAACAGATGCTGAAGTGCCTAATGAGACCTCACACCCAGGGCTGGGAGGCCTTCGCCAGACCTCGCGTGAAGAAATGGCCCCTGAGACTTGTCTCGGCGCGGCTCTCAAACTCCAGGTTTCCCCAGATAGGGAGCCCGCCGGGACCACCCTTCCAGCCGCTGCTCCTCCATTCGGCCTTAAAATCCTGGTGAATCAGGACATGCCTGTGGACACCCCAGCCACAGCTTCTGCTCCACTGGTCGGGGCCTCTTATGAAGTGTTTTTACTTAGAGATGTTTATATTTAAGTAGCTATTTTATAAATAAAAGTATTTCTATTGGCCATAAGTGTTTTCTTCATCTTGAATCTGAACCTTTTTTCTCATCCTTGCCCAACTGAGTCATGGGGGACCCTGGTTTATGTTCCCCCCCCCAATACTTCCACAGCAGTGTTTCTCAACCTGTGGGCCGTGACCCCTTTGGGAATCAGATATTTATATTATAATTCACAATACTAACAAATTATAGTTATGAAGTAGCAATGAAATATGGTTGGGGGTCACCACAGCATGAGGAATGTGTTAAGGGGTCGAAGCATTAGGAACTTTGAGAAGCACTGCTCTACAGTTTCTGGTCGTAGGTTTGGGTCTTTAATCTACTTTGAGGCTTTTTTCTTTCTCTCTTTTGGGGGTGCAGTGGGATGAACTTATTATGTAGCCCAGGCAGGTTTTAAATGAGATCCTTTTGCCTCACCTGGGTGTTGGGGTCACAAATGTATGCATGCTCTAACACCCGGCTTTGAGTTGGTTTTTAAAAATACAGTATAAGATGTCTGGCATGTGGTACACACCTTTAACCCCAGCACTTGAGAGGCAGAGGCCAGAGGATCACATCACTCTCCAATGAGTTTTTAAGTGATTAGAGTTTTTCATTTCTAGGATTTCTGTTTTCTCTGAATTTCTATGTCTTTGCTGAGTTTTGCCCACCTCTGATCAAGGAGCTGTTAATGAATTTTTCATCTTAGGAGGTTAATTCCTTATTCAAGTTCTGAATTTATTCTTTCCTTCCTTCATTTGCTCATGAGTGTTTCAAGTGTTCTCACCATAAAAAAAAATCTTGTTCACAGTTGGGTAAGGCTATTCGGACAGCAGCCCGCACAGCATCTTCCAGTACTGTGAGAACAAGCTGGAAATCTGGCTACAAACCAGCTCACAGGCCCCACAGATGAACTTACTCCTCTTATTTTGCTAAGTGCAGGAAGTGTCAAGCTGCCCTCTAAATTGATATTTCTACCCGTGATGAGTGCAGCTTCAGACCTCACCAGAGAAGGTTCTTTGTACAGTGGACGGTGGTTAACAAAGAAACTCACCACTGGTCCAGTGCAGAGAATGACTCTCAGTGGAGTGCTCAGTCACAAACGGGACATATGTCACATCACATCCCCTTCCCAGAGATTCAGAGACCATCAAAGAAGTGGGAGCAGGAAGATTGTTAAGAGCCAGAGATCAGGGAAGGCTGGAGTTAAACTCCTAGACATGCCAGGGAAAATGCCTTCGTGAGAAGACCAAGGCAGTCAACATCCTGGCGTGGAGTGGGAAGCCTTTCACAAGCCCCCACCGCTGATCAAGGAGCTGTGGACAGTGACTTCTGGGAGAGGGGGTCTGTTCCTGAAGGTTGTGGCTCTGGGTAGGTTGATCACACCCCAATGGATGGTCCCCACCTCATGAGTGTATGGACGGCACAAACACAGCTCAGGTGTAGGGTTTCCAAATGAAGGGGTTGGCAGGCAAATAGGTTACAGAAGCCGGACATAAGACGGTAGTCATGACAACTGGTGGTTGTAGTGAGTCTTTCTTGTCGGACTTACTTGGAGCGCCAACCCCCAAATAATGACACGGAAACTTATTATTAATTATGAAAGCTCGGCCTTTAGCTTAGGCTCGTCCCACCAGCTCTTATAACTGAATTAACTTGTTTTTTTTTTTTTTTCGAGACAGGGTTTCTCTGTGTAGCTTTGCGCCTTTCCTGGAACTCACTTGGTAGACCAGGCTGGCCTCGAACTCACAGAGATCCTCCTGTCTCTGCCTCCCGAGTGCTGGGATTAAAGGCGTGCGCCACCACCGCCCGGCTTGAATTAACCTGTTTTTATTAACCTATGTTCTACCTCTTGTCTTTTTACCTCTTCATTCTGTACATTCAACTTCCTCTGTGTCTCACTGGCATCTCTCTGAGTGCCCAGATTCATCTCTAGTTCCTCTCTCTCCCTAGAAGTCCTGCCTATTCTCTCCTGCCTAGCTATTGACCATTCAGCTTTTTATTAAACCAATCAGACGGTGCCTTAGACAGAGACACATCTTTACAGTGTACAAAAAGATTATCCCACAACAGGTGGTTATAATAACCTTTTGAAACAAGGGTAGGTTTGCAAGATGGTCCTAACAACTTTTGGAAACAAAGACCTGGCTGCTGTTTGCTGGAACAGGAGGTACAGAACCATTTGTAGTTACGGTTAGAGGTGGGCACAGCTCAATCCTTGAGACACAGATTTAATCGTAAACAGGAACGAGTCTAGTTTGTCTTTACTCTAAGATAGTTTTTCCACCTAAGATGGAGGCAGGTGTTTCACCACTTGCTGACATAACAAATCACCATGAATTCTGTGTCTTAAAACGCATCAGAACTTCAAATCAAGGACTCGTTCTTTGTGGTCCCCAGGGGAGGGTGTCCCCTTGCCTTTTCTGCCTTTGTTCCTCAGCTTGTCTCCTCTTCCTCTCACTTCAAAGCCAAAGTTGTAGTGTCTTCATGAGTCTCTCAGCATCCTCTCATATCCCCTTCTTTTTGTTCTGAATTCCTGCCTCCTTTTGTGTAACTCAGGCCTCACACATGCCCGGCAAAGGCTCCACTACTGAGCCACACCCCCAGCCACGAGGCTCTCCTATAAAGATGCTCTGATTTCACTGGGCACACCTGAATAACCCAGGATCTACTCCTCCACCCCCAAACCCTGATTACAATGGCAGCATCCTTTTTTTTTTTTTTTTTTTTTTTGTAATGGAATGTGACCTATTGTCAGGTTCAATAGGTTTGATTGTGAACATCTCTATCATAAGAATATTTTTTGAGGCAAATCACCATTTTGATGATGGAAATAAGCCCGAAAACCTTTTCTACAAAGATCTAGAGAGTACATATTTTAGGGAATGAAGACCACAAATGCTGTTCTGACAACTCTGAATTGCCTCATGAAAGCAAGCATGGGTAATACAAAAATAAAGGAACAGAGCTGTGCTCCAAAAAAACAAAAACAAAAATAAAATAAAATTACAGAAGCAAGCCAAAGTAGACCCTTGAGTTATATCCCCACTCCCACTAAAACAAGAAAGATTCTGGTGACATTTTATGAAGGAAAAGAAAAAATAGACCAGCTGTAATTTGTTTACAATTGAGAATTACTTTAATCCCAGCACTCGGGAGGCAGAGGCAGGTGGATCTCTGTGAGTTCGAGGCCAGCCTGGACTACAGAGTTCCAGGAAAGGCAGGCGCAAAGCTACACAGAGAAACCCGTCTCAAAACAAACAAACAAACAAACAAACAAAAAATTAGTGAACATGTTAGGGAGATACTGTGGGGATCAGGTCCTAAGGAACCAGACCGTAAATTACCTGCAGATGAGCATGAACAAAGGCACCAGGCAGGCAACAGTGTTAGTGCCAAGCCAGGAAAACCTGTGGTCAGAGCTAATCCTTTGGAAGACTCAGCAATCCCTTCACGGATGCCAGCCAACGTGGAGTTTCCCAGAGAAGAACAGTGTGCATTTCTTCCCTGAGCAGAAAGTAAATGTCCCAAAGATGGCTGCTCCAACAGAGGGAAGCCAGGGAACAGGGGAGACGAATCTGAATACATGGTGCTGTGTACCAGGCATAAAATCATCTGGATTAAGGTGAGCTCCATCCAGCCAACCACCACTACAGGAAACAAAGCCTTGATTGTTAAGAGTTGATGAAGGAGGAGCTAGGAAATGGCTCAGCAGTGAAAGGCACTTGCTGCTCTTGCAGAGGATCCAGGTTCAGCACCCTGTGGTGGCTCACGACTGGTAACTCCAATTCTAGGGGATCCGACGCCCCCTTCTGACCAGAGCACACACAGGACACATTTGGTACACATACATACGTACACGCATAGCACTCATACCTGTACAATGAATGAATGAATGAATGAATGAATAAATAAATAAATAAATAAATAAGTAAATAAATAAATAAATAAAGCCAGATACTTTACAGGAAAAAAAAAAAAGTTGAGGGAGCTGAAGAGAGCACTGGCTGGTCTTCCAGAGGTCCTGAGTTCAATTCCCAACAACCACATGGTGGCTCACAACCATCTGTAATGAGATCTGGTGCCCTCTTCTGGCCTTCAGGTATATATACAGAGCACTCATACATAAAATGTAAGGAAATAAAATTTTAAAAAGAAAAAAAAAGTTGAATAGGCAGGGAGTGGTGGTGCACACACCTTTTATCCCAGCACTTGGGAGGCAAAGGCAGGAGGATCTCTATGAGTTCAAGGCCAGCTTCTTGGTCTGCATAGTGAGTTCTAGGACAGCCAGGGCTATGTAAAGACCCTGTCTGGGGAAAAAAACTGCACACACACATCAGGCTGTTTTCTAAAAAGTAAAGGTTCAAATGAGCCTAAAGTAATTTTTATTTTCTTTCTAAAGGTCTATTTTTATGCTTATTTTAATGAGATACTGCCTCGTGTACGTTCTTTTACCTCACCTTTCCTACCTCTTCTCTAAGTGGTTCTTTTTTCTCTGTAAGAACTAAACTCTATAGCATAACAATTACTTACACAGGAAGTAAAAAGAAAGGGTATGAAATGGAATAAATCAGACAACCAGGGGCCCACAGTGGGGAGCAGGTGGAGGACACCCACCGGCCCACCTGGTGCTGCTTGGCTTGGGTGGATAGAAGACAACCAGAGGCTTGCCTGGTGCCTTGCAGTGTCGGGCGGGCGGGCACCATCATGATGAGCAAAGATATGGTGGTGAAATGAGAGAGAGAGGGGAATGGTACACGTGTTGTGGAGAGAGGCTGATCCAAAAAGGCGAAGGCAGGAACTGATGTGGGTGGCATGGTTGCCACCCGGGCCCATGGTGATGTCAGGACCCAGGCTGCTGCCAAGGGCCATGTCTGGGTCCCTGGCCCTACTGCAGTCAGGGTCTGTGTTGATGTTCATGACTCCTGTTACCACCAAAGGCCGTGCAGGTGCCCGGAGTCTGGGCTGACACCTGAGGCCATGGTGATGTCTGAGGGCCATGCTACCACTGGGGTGACACAGATCTGA